CCACATATCTCTAATGTAAAGCTAAGCCTTAACCTTAATTTTATCTCACTATATAATATCAGAAATTTCTAGCCTTCACAGCTCCGGGTCCCGTCTCTAAAGTGGTTGCCACCGCCATTATGCATCTTCAAAACTCCTATGAGGGATTCTAGAGGTAGTCCAGTTTGAAATAGTGGCACTGTTCCCATATTTGGCTAGGGTACATAATTGTATTCCACTGCGTCATCCGAATTTGGTAACTGTAAACAATGTCGATCCTTTAACGGGAGTAAGCTGTTTTGCCCACTTTTTTCAAAATTTTGTTGCCATACCAAGTGGGTAGTGTTTGAGGGTTCTTGTTATTATCGTACTTAGTCTTTTTGGTACTAAGGAGTGGAAGTTACCAAAGCCAGAGCCTGATATACTCAACCCAGAGAGAACTCTTCTTTTTGGTGAGTGATAAACTCTAAAGCTGTTAGCAAGTAGCATATAAGAACTACTTCTAAACGACAGTTGCCGTCCCTGCAGTGAGTGATAAACTTCAAGCCTACCGGCAGGTAGCGTATGAGAACTACCTCTAAACGATAGGTGCTGACTTATAGTTTCATTCATTTTACCAGATGTATTGTATATCGGGTTTCTTGTTTTTCGAGTTGGATTCTTCCCAAAAATTTCGGTATGAGGGATCGTTGGTGAGAGTTGAGTATCAAATGTTATTTTTTGCATGGCGTTAGTTATTGAAAGTTTGAATAAATATATATCGCTCTAGCAGGTTTAATGCAAAGTCAAATGCCTTCTAGTACTAGAGAAGATACTGGGTATTAGGAGTTAAAGCCTTAGATTCCAAAATGAAAAGATTAATTAGACTATACCAAGCTGATTTTTAGTTTAACATAATCCCCCCTCCTTAGTTTTTAAAATTTGTATAAAATATTATATATAGTATTAACTATTCAAATTGTAGTATTAGTTTTTTAAATTTTTAAAAATTTTACAGCCAATAAAATTGCTTTATTTTTTTTTAATTATATTTTTTTTAATCCTCTCTCTTTATAAAATTTTTTATATTATGTTAAACAAAGAATCTGCTTGAAATAGCCTTAGTAACAATATGTAATATAATAATAAATATATATATATTGAATATTAATGAAGCATTAAGGGTCTAAGTACTTACTTTAATATTTAAAAAAAAAAATTATATTTAAAATGCAAACTACTGTAGACTATAGCAATATATTTAAAATACAAACTACTATAAATTATTGCAACATTATAAATAATAGCTTGAGATACAAGCTCAGTAGTAGTATAATATATACTAAATATACTAAACTAAAAATAGCTATAAAATTATACTTGCCTAGTATTCTTTTATTGGATCTGTAATAGATACTATACTAAAACTATATTGAAAGTATAAGATCATTAATATAAAAAAAGTAAAGTGTATATATAGTAAAAGTAGAATATTTAGTTAAGTAGTACAAATTCAGGTATAATATAAGTGGACTATAAAATACTCTAGTAGGTTTAGTTATAGATAAAATAGCCTAAACCACTTGTTTAATAAAAGAAACTAGAGGCATGATATTATTTTAATACCAAAATATATATATATAGTAGCTAGTATAAAATTTTTAAATAAACTACTTAAATAAACATTTAAAAATTATATACTGTATATTGCTAGTTGTACTTTTTAGTTATATATTATACTAATAAGTTTATATTATAGTAATATTTTTAATGTCATTTTTAAAAAAAAAGCAAAAAATATTTTTTGCAAAACTTAGCATATTTCAACATCACGGATCAATCGAGATATTATTCGATATTGCGGTGAATGATATCGAGATTGATTCGGGATTTTAATAACATCGACGACAAATACGTGTAATGATTGATTTATTACACGGATCCTAATTGTTCACCCATGACTTTTTTTTTTACTGATATTCTCACGGTTGATATGAAAAATATCAGCCGTGAAAATATCAACCGTGAGAATATCAGTAAAAAAGATCATGGGTGAACAATTAGGAGCCGTGTAATAAATATTGAATATACTGCGATAGCTTTAAATACATACATCACGAAAGAATAAATTCTTATATGAAAATCTGTTCTTTATAACCTTGCATCAAATTTTTTCTAAAAAAAGAATTCTTTTATTCAACATAAATTACATAAATTCGATAATATTAACGTTAATGGTATGCTAAAAGATAACCACAGAAAATCATCGATCTCATGTCCATTCGAGCGTGTTTATTTATGTACAAATTTATAATTAATATCAAAAGAATAGCATATATAGAAATAATATACAATATACGTATTAATATATGAACATTGAACTTTCAAGAGTTTATAACTCGCATTTTAATAAAAGATTGGCCTGCATAAAGTTTGCAGAATTCGAGACTGTTTACCCAATGTATAATTCACATACAACCTACATACAATAACACTACATTTGAGGATCAACAATTTTTTACCATCCTGGATTTGATCATCTTTCCTTTGTCGAAATCGAAGCATTGAGTTCGATTCAAAGATGCAATTGACATTTTTTGTTCTAATTAATCATAAATTTGTCTTGAATGGAATAGCGTTTATTTCTCTTTGACTTTTTTTATCAACACATCATGCATAAATTCTTTCTTGGTTTGACACACCACACATTTATCCGACTTACCATGATTATCTTATGTTTCGATGTCTACGTTTTCGAAGCATGATCCGTAGGTTAATCGCGTGACAAAAAATGCCAATAAACGCGTTTTATGTGAACTAAAGTATTTGAAACTAATAGTCACTTGTTGGTTTACATCCAGGAAATAATAATTTTTTATAGATATATGAAAATTCATATGATAATTTTAACAAATGAAATGCGTAACAAACAAATAGAATTATCATACCAGATACAGAATTTATTGTTTCAAGATTATATATTATAAGACATATTATCACGTGCATATTTAAAATTTGAAAAGCACTAATTATTCTGGATTTATAAGTTAGATGTTCACGAGCGTAAATCAATTTGGACAGTTAATATAACACGTGTAAATGAATTTATAGTCCGGTTATTTTTTTTTTCAAGTTCATCCAATGTATTAAAATTTCTTATTTAAAAAGCTTTCAACAATCATGTTCTTTACGTGCAAGGGAAAATATCTTGGTATCTATTATACACTGTAGTGTTCACAGAATTCATATATGAATATGTTATCAAACTCGTTCATGTTTAGTACTCTGCAGTGTTGTTAAATTTGCATGGCCTTTTTTATTTTCTTAAATGACTTTGTCAGGTCATTTGGATCATTAAAATCTATTATTAAATTTCATATAGAAAAGTCATTTCAGGTCATTTAAAAGGTCATGACTTTTTTAGATCATTTAACAACACTGGTGTCCTGAGAATAAATACTGTAGTTCGAGTACGTTAGAAGTGTACTCATTACGGATATACCCGATGTGTTTTATTTTGTAAATATGTTAAAAAAGGTAATTACTGCTGTACTGTACGTGTAAGCTAATGGTGACAAGTTATAATCTCACATAATCACCAAATTCCTTGATACCACCTTCCTCAAATCACTGTCACTAAAATCGCTCTGAATTCAAAAGTCACATCTACTATATCACTATCCCTTGCTGTCAAGCATTTGTCCTGTTATAAACGATGTCACGCAATCGGCACTTGTCACAACCAATTATGGCTATAAAAAGTGACTCTTTATCATATCCCAACCGCACGGCATCGAATCCTGGCCTAACTTGGTCGTAACCTGCCATCCTCCCTTAGTCAAGTGAAATCAACCAATTTTCATGCCAAACCTGATTAATAAATGAACCTTTATTTGACATTCAATGTATGACATAGTTGAAATTTTAAAAATGCTGTTTTTTATAATTTTGTTTCGAAAAAAAACGTGTAATTAAAAAAAAAAATTAGGAAGATAGTAAATTTAATGATTGGGTGATAATTCTCGAATCAAGGAGAACAATTGATTTTTTTTCTTTTGTTAACCGATAATCATTACGTATCATTATATTGATATGTTTTCTAATTTCAACTTTAAGGAACCTTTTAACGTTCAGATGACCTTTTTCGGGAGGACAGCATAATTTTAAGAGTCGGAAAGAGTTAAAACCTCAATTTACAGTGATAATAAGCATTTTAACTTTACTATTAATGGCAAGAATATCTCTTGATCAATCTTTTTAAGTGAGTCGTCAAGAAATCAAAGTTTTCAACATGTTATTATATTGGCAGTAAAGTTATTATTATCTAAGCCTTTATTTGGTAATTACCTATTATGATGATATTAATGTTTTAAATGACGTAACTCTAAGAAATTGGGCGTTACGCTATACTGATTTCACGTTTCACGTGCTTTGTGTCATAATTAACATATCACAAACATTCTAGAAAAGCAAAATCACGGAAAATCTATTTGTCAATGTTTGTTTATCTACGCCCAATGTCTGTGTTTCAACAAAACCGGTATTCCTGAATATGGAAATTAGCTAATGGCGATAGTATAAATGAATATTTCTTGTTATAGAAATTTATTTTTAAAGAAATGCATCTTTTTTTAGGAATTGTTAGTATCATTAATGATTTGATTATGTAAGAAAGAAATTTAAGTGTTTAGAATAGTATTTGAGACACCCGAAATGCGTCATTGGAAAGCAAGTTATCTCCTCTACTGTGTTTTATTTCTCTTTGATGGCAACCCTCTACGTATATTGGTATCGGTATACTATTCATCCGATGTTCGGGTATTTAGTTATATTTAGTTGGTATGTAAAAGAGCTTGATAAAAACATGCGAGCAAAAAATAAAAACAAATAGATCTAAGGTCTTTATTTTATTTTATTTATTTATTTAATTCTTAAGGATATATTAAAATGTACGTATGTACAGTACATGTACATATATTTTTTATGTCTATTTCTGTATTTAACTGGCCAGTCACGTGTCATCGGATCGATGCAATTTTCGCTGATATCTCTCCGGACACATAAGTTATCATCACATCGCCGTTTAGCGTATAAATTCAATATATATAATTTTAGTAATTCCTTAATATATTGATATTACATCACAATAAATTGCTAAATATCGCTTAGATCGAGAGAAGGCGGAATAAGATTTGAACAAGTTTTTCATATAAACAAACACTTTTTAAGTTCATGATTTCTTTATACTCGCATAAGTTCAATAAATAACATTTCTTTGATGCTTGATACTAACAATGAATTATCGTAATTATCATAAAAAGTCAATGTATAGTATCCTGCATAAATATTTGTAACAAATGCATATGTCTATACGATTGATTATGAGTAATGTTCTCTCTTTCTGAATTTAGATAAAGCAATAAGTAATATACCGCCTACTTGCCTAGGTTGGTCGCCTATAACTGATAAATTTTCACTTATTCAACCTGGGGCGTAAAACATTTAAGCTGTGTAAAGAAATACGAATTAACAAAGGAACGATAACTCCACGAATTAAATCACATCCTGAAAGTGCTAAATACGAATTTAGAATTCCGATTGACCTAATTTAGATGCGTGTTATGAAAGACTAGGTGACTGTAGTTGTAAATAGAATTCGTCATCTTTATTTACTTCTCGCAGATTGATAAACCTCTGATGGGCATAGATTTACAACTGATGGATTATATCAAACCGTTACTGTACTACTTATTATCTATAACAATTATCCGTCAATAACAAATAATTCAAATTAGTAAAAGAAAATATTTGTATATATAAATCAAGGAGACATTTGTGAATTAGTAGCAGAGGAGACATTTGTGGATTAGTAATAAAAGAGACATTTGTGAACCAGTAAAGGAGATATTAGTGAATTTTTCATTTCTCCGTCTTTTATCTTCATTATATCTTCATTATATCTTCATTATGTAATATATATGTGATACATATACATTCTTATCGCAAACTCATTAATGGCTAATTCATTAATTACTCCAAGTGGCTACCATGGTTGCCATTATGATTGAAAATCACGTTTAGAAATTATTTACACGTGACAATTGTACAAAATCATTACTATCGTAGACCCCCTTCATACATTATTTATAGAAAAGGCAAGTTCACGAATCAAGTTTATCTTGATTATTTCAAGATTTAGAAACTTATATGCTATATATTGGCTTCTCGTAAAGTGGTACATATGTACGCATGTTTTCTGTAAATAGCGGGGAAAGTTGGGGAATCAAGTTTCACCGGATATCGGTAACAAAGTTTTTTTGTTTTGATGTGTATATTTTGGCTTTGGATTTCATCCGGATTTTTTGTTACGCGCATGACGCAAGAAAAGTTATTATATAATACGTGGCGTGGCGATGATTATTTAGACAAATTAAGTAATTACAAACAAGCATTCGAACAGGATCTCTTATCTGTGAACTTATAATAATAATAAAAAATATGATCATATGGTCATGTTTTAATCTCTTCGCATAAATTCCTGAAATTATCTTGATTTAAATCATAATTTTTAAATTTTAATATTCATACTAAAATGTTTAATACGATTTATTCATTCAGCCATTTTTAATTTATAATGTATTAATAAGTAAACTTAAATATTTATTAACTCAAAAAAAGATAATTACAATTATAAGAATTCCTGTTTTAACGCACTTTGGTTTGATTCAAATAAGCATAATTACGTTTTATTTTTGTAAACTTTGCTTACATGATTTAATTACACTTTAAAATTGTCCAGGCAGAATATTAAAATTAATGTATAAAAAAATTATTAAAGATAACGAATCAGTCATACCGTATTTACCCAGCTCGGTTATTTCCCTAGTTCGTTTTAATATGTTTTATTATGTTTTTCCCGGGTACAGAAGCATGATAGTGTCATATTTGGTACCCGGGCATAAGTAAAAATTTTCTGTCAGGGTACATTACACAAAGTTTATATGTTGGTAAATATGGCAATACTAAACATATTGATCACATGATCAAATAAACCTGCCGTTTAGTATGCCCCAGGATTATAATACAAATTATAGCGAAAGTATGCATAAAATTAATTATTTAAAATTAATAAAAAAATTAAACATAATTTGTGATTTATAGATTATCACAAGCGAATTTGCCTGCGTTATTTCTAATTTTTTTTGATTTTATCTAACTTTTAATTAATTATTAATCCGAATTAGTTTTTTTTTTATTCCTTAACAAAATATTATATATCTTTTTAAAATTTATTATTTTGGGTTTATTATTACAGAGAGACCTCCCTAAATGCACCCCCTCGGGACCATAGTAAAAATATGCACTTAGAGAGGGCGTGCATTTATAGAGAGTAAATTATGTAGTACTACAGTATTACAGTATAAGCTGAGGCCAGACTATATACTGTGTATTTAAAAAGATTTTATATAAAGGGTGCATTTATAGAGAGTGCATTTAGAGAGGCCTCTCTGTACTAAAATTAGATTAAATATAGTTTAAAATATACCTATTTTTTTTATTTATTAAAGATTTTAAAAAGCCACTTTGTTAAAAATTTTAACTATTGATTTTATAATTATTAAAACTGAATTAAAAAATTAATATCACTTTATAATTTATTATTTATAACAATACAAAATATAAAACTTTAATTTAAAGCAAACTAAATTTTAATTATAATTTGTATTTTTTAAAATAGAATATAAATAGAAAATTGCTATTTGTACTCTTTATTTTTGCTATTTATACTTTTTATTTATATAAAAAATTATTTAACTAGTAGTTGTATAATAAAGTTGTAATGCAAAACAATATATAGCCTTTATACAAATAAAATTATAGCTAAAAAAAGAATTTAAACATCTTTAATATAAAAGTTTTAGCAAAATTTCTGCAAATTTAAAGAACAAAAAAATAGTTTTTTTGTAATTATTTTAGCAACCAGTAGTTTGATTTGAATAAATTTTTTTAAAATAAAAGCTCTCAGTAAAATATATCTAACAAAAAAAGTTTATTCAATTTTTTTTTTTATTAAGTTCTTTTAGTAACTAGATTTTTATTGATATTAATTTATATATTAGATTACAAGAGTTCTATACAAACTTGAAATTATAATAAATTACACATTTTTATCAAATTTAAAGACTACTACTCTTTTACTATTTATAGAAATAATCTAACACTTAGTTGCTATCTAAATACTAAGTATATCTCTGTATATTATCTCTTAGTTAGCATGGCAGTACTACCTCTTAATTCATTCTGTGTTCTATATTATTTTCAAATTAGAATTTAGAGATATTGCATTACAACTTAATTTATTACTTGGAAGTTACTTTTATATATTTTCTGCTTTTATTAGATTTACAACTAATCTAATACTTGCTTCTTATCTAATATTACAAGTCTGTTTTGAGAGCTCATATTTTCTAATAGTTAGCCTAGGAGTGTTGATCTTATCTAGGCTTTAGATACTATATATTACTCATTTTTTGATATATGATTCTGAAATATATGTCTTTTTTCTCTGATGTGACTTTGGTGGCCAGGTTGGTATAACTCTAAACTTAGAAGAGTCATAATTATCAGACTATTTTTGATTTAGTTTTCAAATCTGTAGTATTATTGAAAATTAGCTATTACTTCTAATTTAAAACTTCTCAAGTAAGTTTCTAGTTCATTAATTCTCAAGATTTATACAATCCTAAAGATTTTTTAGAGACTAACCTTTTGGTATGACTCAAGTTACAAAATTTTCTAATTTAGTAATTTGTAATTATTGTAATACA